CTACAAACAAATTTCATCCCTACCAGGTTCAACTAATGCAGGAACTGATTGATAGGGATTATGAAAACCGAATACAATTTTGTCAATGGGCACAACAAAAAATAGGACGACAAACAAATTTGTTGACTTTGTTTTCTTTGCTGGTGAAGCAACATTTCATAAAAATGGACATGTTAGCGTCATAATTTTCATTATCATGACAATAAATCCTTACACCTCACGAACGAATAGCCAAACAAGATGGTCGTTGAACATTTGGGGAGAGATTGTTGGGGATTATGTGATAGGACCACATTTTCTTGACGGACGTGTCATGAGCGACTCCAAGCAGGCCAATGTTAGTTAGTTGTCTATTTTGACGCCGCCACCGATATTTCTGCTGGTTTTACGAGTTCTATTGCATTTGTTTTTACGGTTTTTTTTTTGGAGGGAACTTAAAAAGAAACGTGCCAAAACGTTAAAGTTGACGTGAAAACTTACCATCTTTTGATGTTACAATCGGGTAATTTGTCGCATATCGGTTTTTAATTATAGAAGATGAAGTGTTTTACTCTATGTTATTTATTAAAAGTATTAAGTTTCCTTTTCTTGTTTTTCGATTTGACCTTTTCGGCGCTGGATTGATTGTTTTTCTTTTTAATGTAATCGTTAAGTAAAACATTAGAAAAAAATTGAGCATATCATAATAAGAATATTTTTTTATTCTTTACCACAAACACACTGAGCATCAAAATCTTTTAAAAATATATCCTGGGATACACTAGAAAGTCTTAGAGAAACACAAATATTACATTTTAGTTTTTCAGACATTTTGAGTGCTACATAACCAGATATGATATTTTAGCGGATTCATCTATTTGGTAAATATTCTGTTTCCAGTATATGTGAAAATTTTTCGCTTTCAGTATTATTGGGCACATCCCATTCAAGATCGAATTAATTGCAGCAGTTTTCATTATGCTTTTGAATTTCAGAAAGTGAAAATGGTTCCTTTCTAAATATATGTTTAATTCTTATTTTTCTCTGCATTAGTGATTTCATCAAAGCTGACATAACTGCTACCACCTAATAGTCTGTATTTACCAAACCTTTTTTCTAATTTTTCAGTTATAAATTTACCAGGTAATATATATGATAATGCAACCTTTTCAAAAGAATACTCAATTATTTGTAACCAAACAGAAATGAAGAAGTGTAGAGTAGGTATCATTTGTAAGCCGACTATTATTGTTAAGTTTTTGCCAAGTATCTAACCATATTATAAACTTTTTAAAATATTCAATGCGAAAATCATTTATTCCTGAAATAGGTTCACACCATATTTATTTCTTTTAATGACATGTTTCATGACACTTGTGTTTTTTATAATATCCCACCAATGTCTTACAATTTTGAAAAAGTTTGCAGTGCCATGAAGACCATATTCTTTTAAAGAAGAAATAGTGGAATGGTCACATACATATATTGTCTGCCAAATAAACTGTTTGCCTTTCGCCTGTTAGGATAGACTGTTTTAGGATTAAGTTTGTATGCTATCTTTATTACCAGATTTTGGCTTTATTATAGACATCTCTAATGTGTTGTCTAAATTTTTTATGTTGCGCCAAGAATTTATTATATTTTTAAATATGCGGTTATGTTAAGGTCAAGTATACAAAACTTTTACAACTACAATAGAGAATATGATAGAATAGGAGAAGTTTTTCAGAATATTTTTGTAGATATTTTAAGAAATGTCAGTAGATCATTCGAAAATCGTCTACAGAAGTGCATAGACGTACTGGGAGGTCATATAATGAGTGGCAAAGATTGAATTAATTTGATGTTGGTTTTTAATTTCATTTTATGCATCGATCCATCCTTTTGTTTACAAATTTCTTAAATCATAAATCAGCAAAACCTAATATTTTCTAAATATTGTACAAATGTATCATATAAGTTTATTACTAATTGCAATTGCAATTGTTTCTAAAATAACATGTTTATTCTGTTAAAAGTTGTCTTATATAAAAATCTCGGTTCCATACTTTATTGCTTCGGTATACGTGACAAAAATTAAATAGCATAAAGGTATACAATTTAAAATCGAACTTTATATTGTCGTAACTTTCAGATAAACATTTCATAGAAGTACTAATAAACACTTACAGGGGTATCATACATTAAGGAGATTAACAAAATATTAAATATTTATACATGTTTATGCAAATCCAGAAGAAATATGGGCCTCCGCAAAAGTTTTGAGAAGACAAGTTATGAGTATCGACTAAAATGATAAGAGATATTCGTTTCTGCAGTGGGTTCTGACCTAAGATTTTTTGCAATAAAATATGACAAGGACGTTGCCTTTTTCAATAGCTTCTCTAACAGGGGTGTACAATTTTATTTGCACATGATTTGCTACACATATAAAATTATTATTTATAGAATAAATCATTTACAAAGATGCATGACTTTTTCACATATTTATCCTGCAATATGTTCCACAATGACATACTTAACATATTTTTACTCCCTTCAGCAATAATAAACTATCGGCTTAGAGCACCATGTGGTAACATATTAGGTTTGTTCGTAGAGCAGTTTCCAACCGTTTGAAACTGTCAGAAGCATGCGCATATTGTTGTAGAGATGTGCTTTTTCAATCAGAACGTTTGTTATTGCAGAGCTCTCGTAATAATCACATCTCCATAGTCAGAAAACTATCACCAATCGTCTCTACGAACAAATCTATTAGTTAATTTTATTTAATACTGCATAAACCATTTATCACTTTGTTTGTCGTGCAAACAACACTGACAATGGCTCGAGTTCGAAGACTTGCTTATTTATTTTCGGGAAACTGTGGATATGAACAAATAAGAGAAGAACCAACGTCGTAGAGGTCGGTACGTCTTACTGCTGTTCAAAGAACCATTGAACATGAAAAGCGCCTCTTACGAATTGCGGCCCTAAGGAACCGTTTTAGGACAACCAGGTCTATGGCAAATCATCATCCTTCTCATCATCCTCCAGGCGTAGGCAGCACTCGACGTTTTCCACCAGGCCGAGATTATGCAGATAATACTTTAGTCGGTAGTGCCCAATAATCAAGTTTTCATGTTTACCCTGTTTAACTCTAAAAGTTTTTTTACTCTTGATTTCAAAGAGTATTTTATAAACGCCTTTGAATGAACTAATCTTGGTAATTTTTCATTCAGTTCAACCGAGGTTGAGATAGTTATCTTGGCAGTACTTGAGGATATGAGAAGTATCGGTTCGGTTCCGATGATTCGTGATTCTGCTCCTTTTCTGATCAACAAGTCGGCTATTTCGTTACTTTCCAGACCAGAGTAGCCAGGTCTCCAGACCAGAGTCACTTTATTGTTTTTGCCCAAATGACTTAGAGCATTCTGACAGTTCCATACTGTTTTAGAGTTAGATCGGTAAAAGCCAAGAGCTTTTAGAGTTGATTGGCTATCTGAGAATTTTTTTATTGAGCTGCGTACAAGATCCATATTACAGTCTACGTACACATAGTTCAATGACATGAACCTCCATCCGAAATATAGTTGCAGTAATACCTAGGCTTAAGGATATCCTCACCTTTGGATTGTAGCTATATATTTTGGCTCCTGTTCCCTTAGGAGTTTTAGAGCGGTCTGTAAACCAGCAACTGTTGGCTCTTAGTAGGTTGGCTTTATTCCGATCTCACTCATGGAAAAGGATGTTGAAGGTCAGTTCGTGGTTGACCATAGTAGGCATAGTATCTGAGGATATTCCCAGGATGCTGTGCCTTTCTGAAAAGGATGTTGAAGGTCAGTTCGTGGTTGGCCGTAGTAGGTATAGTATCTGAGGACATTCCCAGGATGCTGTGCCTTTCTATGTGATCCAGCAGTCTGTTCCGCTCCATGATACTAGTCTGCGGCATATCGATAGCTGCTTGTTGCAGTCTATACGTTTCCTTACCTCTCTCTCCAAATATACAAGATTGGTGTAAATTAATCAGGTACACGGGTGAATGCGTAACAAAGAACATATTAAAGGAAGGCTGTGTCAGCTGCGCTTGGAGGGCAGAGGTAAGGCATGCATATTTGCGAATCGTTAGTAGTCCTGTGTACCCAAAAGATTTACACCAACCGATACATGAAGCGTCCAATAGGAGTTCCATTGCAGGTGATGAAGATCAAGCATGCTGATCTCTGCAAACCAGAGTTTGGCTTTGGCCGTCCGTTGTGATCCTTTAGGCCTCCAACGATACATCTGTATGTACGTATTTTATTAATCTCAATCAATTTTCGATCCACCTACATCTTAGTCGAACCTCGTAATACGTTTCGGACTTTGACTACCCAAGAAATTAAAAAAAAAAACCTCAAAAGATATATATCTCAAAACTCTCGAGTCCGCACATTGAGTTAAATTTCAAGGTTTATACGTCCATGCCATACAAAGGGTTACTATAACTATAGCACTTGGTTATTCAATAGCGAATAGTAAGCTTTAGCTTATAGGAGGCAAAGTACTATTATTCTCATGAAAATAGACCTGGCCTGTTTGATTTCACATCTTAGTTTGGCTTTTGGATCTATGTTCTCGGTTATCCAGCAGCTCAGGTACATGCATTTTGGCCGTATATCAATATGTTGGCAACTAAATTTCCATGTTTGGAAACAACCATTGCCTTGGTCTTAACGTTGATCCGTAAGCTCCACCGGTCTCCTTCTTCAGCAATTCTTTCGAATAGATTTTCCATCCTCTTCTCGCCATCGGCAATTATAACTACATCGTTTCCCATTAATCTTTATGACATCCTCCGCATATTTAAGTGCTCTTACGAAAATATTTTCTAAATTGAAGTTGAAAAGAAGTGGGGATAGTACTCAACCTTGTCGTATCTCCATAGTGTCACTGTTGCCGTGCTCTACTCTGACCATTACACTCTGGTTCCAGTAAAGCTGTTTAATTATACTGATGTCATTCGATTCTAAATTGCAAAAAAAGCAAACATTCTTCATTGTGGCTTCGTAGTTGAGTGCTAAGGACATTTGCCTCTCACCCTGGAGTCACGGGTTCGATCCCCGTTCGAGTAGCTAGGATTTTTTCTAAATCAGAAATTAATCTTAGCATTCTCGGACATTTGGTGTGTGTCTATTGCATATAAATGTGTAGCCCTCTCCGCACAAGACACCTTGATGTACCCTCAGGGATACAGGAGGTTATATCATCTGTGGCGTTTAATTTTAATTTTAATTCCATAAGCGCTGTGTGTTTGCCTCGATCAAATGCCTTCTCATAGTTTATAACATACGAAAACATCTTTTTGAGAAATATCCTGAGTACATGTGACATCAGACTGATTAGTCTGTAGCCACCACATTTCTTAGAGCTTTAACTTAAATATAAATATATTTTTAATAAATATATTAGACGGTAATTGCAGTGAATAAAAAGTGTTAACCTTAGAAAAACCGGTATCTATGGTTGACACATACCATTAATGTTACATTGATACATTGATACACCCATATGCACTCTAATATAAGGTAACATCAGTATATAGATATGCTCCACAGATGGATGGGTTCGGTAAAGGATGCTCTCAATTTTACATCAGATAAATCAGGACAATAATATTATTATCGAGCTGTCTTGGCTTGCCTTATGCAATTATTGTACAGGATGTACATACATAAAATATTTTACTAATTTAATTTTTCATTAAATATGCAATATTTTGTTATTTAACTCGCCTGGTCCGGGCAATTTCCAAGTTGATTGTGACAATCCACTGCTACTAGATGGTGTTCCGTTTAAGTCGCTAACTTATGTTGGCCCCATAATCCTAACTGAACTCCTTGTTATTGGCAGATGCATCTACCTATTCCGTACTGACGAAGTCTAATAACCAGAAACGGGTAGAAGAGGTCCGATGATGGAATGGCCACCTAGGTCACCAGATTTGACTCCTTTAGACTATTTTTTGTGGGATGGTATTTGTGTATCCCGACACGGGTATCTTCAGACTTGATTTAATCCCATGATGGTAGTTTTTCTAGTTCTTGGATACCCTTTATCGAATTTAATTAATTTGATTTTGAGAAAAGTATTTTTCCCGATTTTTTTCAGACTTCAACTGTTGTCCCTGTTCCAAAAGTAGACCATACCATAAAAAATGAAAAATTGTGACCAATTAACATGTTACCTTTTTGTGAAAAAATTATGAAGAGTGTTTAAGAGAACAGCTAATAGAGTATATCGACCAACATAATATTTTAAGCATTGATCAGTTAGGCTTTAGGGAAAATCATGGTTGCCAAACAGATTTACAACTAATTATTAATAACTGGAAAAGTATGTTAGATAAAAAAACTAACATAATATATGCTGTATTTTTGGATTTAAGCCGTGCATTTGGGACCATCGATCGAGACATTTTGTTAAAAAAAAAAAACTTAAAATAATGGGATGTAAAGGTTGCGTATTAACGTGGATAGAAAGTTATTTATCAAATAGGAGTCAAGTTGTCAAAATAAATGAATCGTTTTCTAAACTAATAAGAAACGATATAGGGATTCCGCAAGGCAGCTGTCTTGGCTCTTTTTTTGTTCTTATTATATATTAATGACCTTACTAATATGGTAAAAAAATGTTCAATACATCTTTTTGCACATGATACTTTAATTTATTTTGAACACTGATATTAATGTATGATTTGATAAGGACACTAAACGAGAAACTAAATCAAATAACAAAATAGTTATAAGTCATTAAGCTGTCATTGAATCATAATAAATCAAAATGCATGGTTTTAGGTAGCAATGTTTTATAGTCAATGCAATAGCGTGCAAATTCGACGATGAAAGGTTACCGTCTGCCAGTCGGTAATCAAGGAAACCATATGAGTATCATACTTTTTTCTCTTTTGAAATGTTTGGTATAGCGGCCGGATACGAAGGGGGGCATTCGTTTTTTAATCGAATGGTTACCGATAATTGTCCGCATAGGTAGTTGGTATATGTACTCCACAAATGGATCAAAATTTGAAATGTGGATAAAACATAGTAAAAATTAAAAAAACGTCTACCCAGCCCGCTTATGGTGCGCAAGGCACTAAAAAACCCTATCCTTGGCTGGCAGACGCTTTTGCCAAATTTAACCCCCCCAAACTACTAGTTAAAGGGTTACAAATTTTTGTTCAGTTTTTCATGTCTACATTTTTCTTATAAATATTAAAAAACGTAAATACGTAATTGAATTCATGCAGAAATTTATGGAAACGGAACCAGTTGTAACAGAAAGCATAACCCAATGCGGGTGGCTAATGCGAAGCTATGGAAGTTATAGTTTTAGGAGCAGTTGCTTTAGAGGATCAGCAATCTTTATCACAGTTATCTAGGGTAACAGGTGTTTCACACAGCAGTGTTTTTAGAATTTTACATAGACACAAATTTCATCCATACAAAATAAAATTATTACAGGAATTGCCGAGAATGATCCTGATCGTCGTCTCGAGTTTTGTGAAATAATGTGTGGAAGTTTAATTGTCACTCCAAATCTGTTGTACAACATTTGTTTCTCCGATGAATGTACATTTTCTGTCAATGAATTAGTCAATTGCAGATATTGGGCTGAGAGTGATCCACATGTAATGCAGGAATTTCATACTAGATCTCAAAAATTGAATGTTTGGTGTGGTATCCTAGAAGACCATATTGTTGGACCCTTTCTTATTGAGGGAAACTTAAATAGTGAGACTTATTTGGAATCATTTAGAAAAGCAGTTGCTTCACAAATTACCCAGGTAATAGAAAACGATGAGGCTTTTTCTGAAAATCTCTTTGCATTTCAACAAGATGGTGCACCGTCACATTTCGCTGTGACTGTCCGTCAATTTCTTAATGAAACATTCCCTGGTCGTTGGATAGGTAGAAAAGGTCCGATGATGGAGTGGCCACCTAGGTCATCAGATTTGACTCTTTTAGACTATTTTTTGTGGGAGTATTTGAAGACGAAAGTCTATGTAACTCAACCAGACTTGCTAGATGATGTACGACAAAGGATTGTTCAAGAATGGCAACACTTAACGCCATAAGTTTTTCGTAATTTTAGAGAGGCGTTTGAAACGTGACTGTATCATTGCATGGAGGTTAATGGAAGTCAGTTTGAACACATGATAAAGTAATTTTTGGTATTTAATTTTTTTAATTTAAACTAGCTCCCAAAGTATTCACGTTATACCCCATAAATTATACATTTTTGTAATGAGCTCTTTGAAGAGAAACTAATGACCTGAAAAAAATATGGGGTGTTCCATTAAAAAATGTAGAGGTGGCTCTGGGGGAGGAACTAATCCTAGGTCTATGTGATGTGTTTTTGCGTTTTTTTGCAAAAATCAATATATCCAAATTTATTTAGGATGGATAGTTGTCATTGAAATGCACTGTATGGTAAGCTTATTGTAAACTGATTGTAAATTAAATTTATCTAAATAAATGTATTATTATTATTATTATTATTAATATTATTATTATTTGGGCCACTTTGTACTCTACATATAGTTCGTAGTTTCACTCCTTTAATTTATTTTAAAGGATGGAGGGTTAGGACTTCTGCTACTAATTTCATTTTTCATTATAAATAAATTTCTCATTGTGTAACCAGTTGTTTGTAGTGATAACCAGTGCCAGTGATTATATAAGCACGATGAGCTCCTGGTGTCGGTCATTAAAACAATATGTATACACCTGAATAATTATAACTAGATTTTACTTTGTTAATATATTATTTAATTATGAAGTCCACACTGTAAATGCAAAAGGTCAATTTTCCGCTATATTCCTAAAGCAAGCAACCTGGGCAAATAATATTAAATCTGCCACAAGAGGTTTACGTTGTGAATGGATATTTGAGAATGTGCTTTGCTCTTGCATGCAAGTTTGATGATAGTATGTTTTAATCAATTATCAATTACTGAGATGTATTTGTTGAGCGAGTTAGATAACTAAACCCTGCTAAGTGGATTTAACAAACTTAATAGATTGAGTTTCCAGCTAAATATTCTGCAGAAATCAGCAAACTCGTATAATAAGTTCAAATATTGGCTTCAAACATATATTCAAAAATGTGATAGAATTATAGTTAACTCGGAGAAAATTAATAGCAAACATTGTGTAAGATGATATAGTGAATATCTTCCTTCCTAGTTAGGCAATAGAAAGTTACATAGAAAAAAATTCAAAGATCGGGAAAGTGTGGAAGAATCAACGAAATATTCTACATATTTATTTATTTATTTAATACGCTATATCGACAGGTCTTAAAGCCTAATTACAGAAAAGATTAGAAAATATAAAAATGTGTAAACTATTGTTATATAAATATATAATACTCACACACAGGAACATAGTGCAACATACATATACATACATACATATAAATTAAATTGAACTTGATGTAAAACAGCAAGTATTACAAAGAGAAATAATTTAAGGTTGTCAGCATATAGAGGACAATTCACAGTCACAATGTCACAATGTTGAATAAAATATAAAATAAAATAAAAGTGACCCTAAATTCGATCCCTGTGGGATACCTGAAATTGGTAAAACTTCGACAGAACTACGGCCATAGTATAAAACATACTGTGTTCAATTTTTAAGGTAAGATGAGAAGTAATTAATATGGTGGTGTAAAAATCCAAAAATATGTAATTTTTGCAGAAAAATACTGTGGTCTAGCCTGTCAAAAGCTTTGGAAAAGTCTGTATAAATCATATCGCCTTGAATGCCATCATCAATCGCATTAGATTAATACTGCGTTAAACAAAATAAATTGGTGACTGTAGATCGACCTTTAAAAACACCATGTTGGAAATCAGGGATTTGATGTTTTACATGTGAAAATATATATTCATACAATATCATTTCGATGATCCGATAATTACTTGTTAGAGTTCTATGCCCTTTCTTGAAGACAGGTATGATTTTGGATTGTTTCTAACATTGTGGAAATGTTGATGATTGGAGAAATATACATATAACAATTTGGTAAATTAGCGCAGTCATATACTACGAAGGATGGAATATTGTCAGGA